CCCCCCCCCCCCCCCCCCCCCCCGCTCCGGTTATAGGCCCATCTAACTGTGAACCACAATTACATATACCAGTAATTGCAAAACTTATTTCGATCATAACGTGCAGCAAAATTTCGTTACGAAACGGTCGAATAGAACATTTTTTTGACTTTATAACATGACAAAATTTTGATAAACACTTGAAAAGAAATATACATATATCCAAAATAAATCCAATAAATAATAGCTTGTATCCACAACGGCAAATTTCCAACTGTTTGCCAGTGTTTTAGAGAAATGTAGACAAAATTCTTATAAGAAACGATTTGGAAATACATGAAACAAGAAATATAAGTGATAGAAACCGACGTTTCGGTGCATCTTGCGCGGCCATTATCAAGGTTACAAAATTAAAGATAAAAAGCGGTTTGTGATGAGGCTTCAACTTAGCCTCATCACAAACCACTTTTTGTAACCTTGATAATGACCGCGCAAGATGCACCGAAACGTCGGTTTCTATCACGTATATTTCTTGTTTCATGTAGACAAAATTACATAAAATTACCACTGGATTTCCCCTTGTTTGCAATACCTTACAATTGAAAAAAAAAGGAAAGCATTGTTAGAAGAAAATAAATGTATAAATTTATTAATCGGGAGCAGTTGAAAGAAAGAGCAGCACCACGTTATTTAAGTAGCAAGAAATTGTAAAACGAGTCAAAGCGTCATAATGCTCTCCAGATTGCAAACACAAAAACATAAATAACGCAAGTAATCAGGGACTAATGGCTCGGCAGACAGAGTGTTTTTATGCTCTATTCCATTCAGCGTCGTGTGCGGCCTGTTATAAGATATTAATAATTTGTATACCCTGAAGAAAGTCTAAAGGAAGAATTTCACGACTCGGCGCATGCCCAAGCTTTCGTGTGATAATAAAGTCAGTTTCTTGCTTTCTTACTCAACCACATGTAGTTCAGCAATCACGGACTGTAATTTAGGCAAGTAGACTGAATGATGCCCAAATTTCGCGGATGATGTCGCAACAATTGCAAAGAAAGTGTCGAATTTAGTTTTTACAATAACTGTTTAATTTCGCGCGCGCTGATTGGCTCATTTTTATCATCAATAAGAGTACAGACGGATAAATTTTAATTTGTGCAAGCTTTCAAGTTCAAATTTCAGCTGTCAAACTGTCAACTTTTTAACCAATGAGATTTTATGGACTTTTTTAAGTAGCCAATCAAAAAACGAGAAAGGCTTTTGACAATGTTCGCGTCATTTTGAATAAAATTCACTTATCTTTGTTTACGGCAAGTTAACGGCGTCTTATTTATTCCCGGCATTTGACCATTTTGGGGTCTTGTTATTGTAGAAAGCAAATAAAGGTCAGTTTTCTATGCGTCTGTCCTTTCATTGATGATACATTTCGTCATATCATTGTCAAAGGTTACTGCGGAACCACTCGCTGCAGCTCGTGGTTCTACAGCTACTTTGACAATGTTATGACGCAATTTATCACCAAGAAGAGGACAGACGCATAAAAAACTGACGTCAATTTGTTAAATTGAACGTGGAATCAGTGTTCTGGACACGAGCACGAGTTATCTACTCGCATCCGATTGGTTCATAAACAATGCAATTGAGTGGTACTTGCAAGTCGGTACATATAGAAGGAATTGCAATGAAAAATGAAACTAAATCGCAGCGTTTTCGCGACTGCCACAAAACTTTCAAAGAAAAATTTCTGCAAAACTCATCAGCCCACTCTGATCTTTTAATCTTTTCTTAAACAATCGTATGGGATGTTCTAACGTTGTTACTTGCTCATGCGCCGAGCTGTGGAACTGTCCGGCTTTAAAACTTGGACACGCAAAATTAGAAAATTATGTTGCTGCCTTAAAAAAGAAGAGTGAGAGTGTGGTCCACCTGCCTGAGGCAGTAAAGAGACAAGGACGTAAACAAAGTTCTCTTATTAGCAAGTATTGCTAAAAACGTCTTCAGCCCGCCCTATCGTTGGACCTAAGTGAAGAATGATTATAAAATTTATTACCGAGTATAACGTCAAACCTAGTTGACGATATCACTCTGTGTCTGAATCGAAAACTCACTTATCGTATTTGGCCAGGCCTTCTGTTTGGTTATTAGTTGAGGTCATGTATGACATTTCTGCTATGTAGCACTTTGTGATGGCCAACGAGAAGGCTATAATGATGAAGAAAAATTGCACAAGAACAATAAGCAGGTCAATAAGCATTCGAACCAATGCCAGTTGTAAAGGACCTACAACTGAATTTAGCTCTAAGATGCTGGAGAAGCGCAAAACCAAGAGCATCGTGTTGACACCGTAAAAGTAGTTAACAATTTCCAGCAAACGATTGTGGTGAGGATGAACACCACGTGCCATGGTCACTACACGCAGGATCACGATCAGGACGTAGATAAGAAGGGTAATAACATCAAGGTAATTCCACATGTCCCTGCAACGGAAGAAATTTTGTGAATGAAATGTAAATGTAAAGAACTAACAGTGATGTAATATGGAATAGTTTTTAGTAAAGTCTTCCGGTCGAGTATCATAATAGAGTCCGGTTTCAGAACCATAAGCTGATGTATGTCCTAGAGAGATAAACTCCTGCCACCAAAAAAAAAGGAAGACAATGGTAACCAGCTGACAACACATTCAAAATAAAACTGGCATATCTTACTTAAAGTATTTTAACGGTGACGCTTTGAATTCCTGTCGCTCACGAACGACCAAGCTAGCGAAGAAAACAAATATCAAGTATTCCTCGAGCCTTGGATAAACGGTAGAAGCCAAGATGCAAACACGGACGTGAAGGGCAATAAAAACCACCTGATTGAGCTTGTCTTTTACGAATATGACCAGAGGTGTGGTAAAGAAACTGAGGTATTTGTCTGTTGAATAAAAAAACCGAGAGGTAGACGTTAGTCTCGCTCTTTGATGTGTTGAACTCTGAAGATGACTATGTCCAATTCTCTCAACTTATAAAACCGATTCTTCAACTGCTGTAAGAAGTATTAAAGTCCACATTTTGCTGGGGTTTTTTTGTCAAAAGTTTTCAGTTTGATCTATTACCGTATATTGTATTGTCTTGCATTATGTTTCTAATCTTCTGTTTAACGACTATTTAAAGCATTTCACTCCTCACGGGAAGATATGAACTCAAT